AACACACTCGAATATAATCAACATTGTGATTCTTTTTTTAATATGTACATAAATGATTATCCGGTATGAAGGGTCATTACCATAAATATTTTCACTAACAAATTATTTTACGGCTTTTTTATACGGTGTCGATAATTATGTAATGGGCGGACAACTAACCTCTCATCATTTATATGTATGTATGTATGGATGTATGTATGTATGTATGTATGTATGTATGTATGTATGTATGTTTGTATGTATGTTTGTATGTATGTATGTATGTATGTATGTATGTATGTATGTATGTATGTATGTATGTATGTATGTATTTATGTATGTATGTATGTATGTATGTATGTATGTATGTATGTGTGTTTGGGTAGAGTTGAGACAATACTCTCAGCATACAACGACTGTGGCCCTGATTACTTAGTAAATATTTTATTATATACCTGTGCACCCAGCAACACACACACACATACACACACACACACACACACACACACACACACACACACACACACACACACACTTCATTGTAGGAAAGAGACTACAAGTGTACTTTAGTTATAGACAAGAGTTACTTTACACTTATGTTCGAATTCTTTGCCAACCGAGAAGGAGATACAGAGAGTTCGAGGTTTCGTTTCAACAGTTTGGAGATTCAGGTGCGTCAAAGGACTTATTAACAGGTGAACTTATCCTACTAGACCTAAAGTTACCCTATAGATGGACCCCAAAATATATTATATCGGCTACTATTTATCTAAGTCACATCATATTATCATACCAAATAGATCCGTACAATAGCTATAACTAGGAACACCTCTACGTACAGTTTACTCTGAGGCTATTTTCACCGGCATATTTGTTTAGTATGTAATTTTAACCGGTTACATAAGTTCCTACGATAGATTTTCCTCCTTAACTCACAAAAGAAAATAAACACACTAACTGACTCACTTAAGCTACACGAATCACGTCTGATAAACGACAACTGACCTAGACAACTGCACTGAGACTCTTTCGTAAACATGGTGCGGTGTTGTGTGTTGCTGTTGTTGTTGTTGTTGTACTGGTCAGCTGTGTGTCGTGAGGCGCCAATCAGATTATGTTGACATTCTACTCCAGAGGAAAACTAATACTATGAAGATTAACTTTTTAATGTTTAAGGGGAATTCTCTCTCTCTCTCTCTCTCTCTCTCTCTCTCTCTCTCTCTCTCTCTCTCATTTTACTATCTTTTGTATTCCTCACTTCTCTCTATTTTACTCTTTTATCTTTCTCTCCATCACCTTTTCTTCCTCTTGTTCTCTCTTTCTTTCCCCTGTCATTCATTCTGTCTCCCTCCTTCACCACCCCCCTGGATAAATACTTAAACACAAAATTACATTAGTAATCGAAACAAGACGAAACAAAATATAATGAACGTCTAATTTCACAGGTAAAAAACCCACTCGAGAAACTGGATCTACAATCTTTTTATTTTTCCATTTTAAAGAGTCATCAAGGTGAGAGAGAGAGAGAGGAGAGAGAGAGAGAGAGAGAGAGAGAGAGAGAGAGAGAGAGAGAGAGAGAGAGAGAGAGAGAGAGAGAGAGAGAGAGAGAGAGAGAGACACACACAATTAGTCCTAACCATCTACTCGACAGCGAGGAAGGACGCAGAGGACCAGATTGGACCATAAAACATATCGCATGTTGTGTCGCTTTGTGTCCGTGAAACACATAACACTTTCATTATGTTTACGTTCCTCTAATTACAACCAGTGTAAATATATTAAGACTTATGGGAACGAGATGAATTGAAAATATAATCAGGGTGTTTTTACAGAGAGAGAGAAGAGAGAGAGAGAGAGAGAGAGAGAGAGAGAGAGAGAGAGAGAGAGAGATAAAAACAGATAAAAAAAGGTGAAAAGGTAAAAAACAAGAAAGAAGAGACAGAGAGAAAAAGTAAATAGAATAATTTTACTCCAATATTCCCAAAAGTCGACTGATTGATGCATTCCATTGGTGCTCTGTGTGTGTGTGTGTGTGTGTGTGTGTGTGTGTGTGTGTGTGTGTGTGTGTGTGTGTGTGTGTGTGTGTGTGTGTGTGTGTGTGTGTGTCCTTCAGGTGAGAGTTAGCTGGGCGGCTGTAGTTGACAAGTAATCCTCACTACCGACGAACACAAACTCCTGAACTTCTCCTTACCTGTGAGGGGAGTCCTGAGTGAGGAGGTGTGTAGGAGATTGAGGGAGATGTGTGGGAGAGTGAGTGAGGGAGGGATGACAGGAGAGATGGTAAAAAGTAGGGGCTCAATCTATAGTAGGCACAGGTAGTGGTGGGTACAGGTGGTGGTGGGTACAGGTGGTGGTGGTGCAGGTAGTGGTGGGCAGGGGTGGTGGGGTGGGTACAGGTAGTGGTGGGGTACAGGTAGTGGTGGGGTACAGGTAGTGGTGGGTGCAGGTGGTGGTGGGTGCAGGTGGTGGGTGGGTGCAGGTGGTGATGGGTGCAGGTGGTGGTGGGTACAGTGTAGTGGTGGGTGCAGGTAGTGGTGGGTGCAGGTGGTGGGTGGACAGGTACAGGTAGTGTTGGGTACAGGTGGGTACAGGTGGGTGTAATTAGTGGGTACAGGTAGTGGTGGGTACAGGTACAGGCACAGGTGGTGGGTACAGGTAGTGGTGGGTACAGGTAGTGTGGGTGGGAGCTGTGGGTGGGTACAGGTAGTGGTGGGTACAGGTGGTGGTGGTGTGTGGTGGTAAGTACAGGTGGGTGGTGGGCAGGTGGTGGTGGGCAGGTAGTGGTGGGTACAGGTGGTGGTGGGGGTGGGTACAGGTAGTGGTGGGTACAGGTAGGTGGTGGGTGGTGGGTGGGTGCCAGGCAGTGGTACAGGCAGGCCGGTGGTGGGTGCAGGGTGGTGGGTACAGGTAGTGGTGGGTACAGGTGGTGGTGGGTGCAGGTGGTGGTGGGTAGTGGGAAGCAGGTAGTGGTGGGTACAGGTGGTGGTGGGTACACATTGGGTACAGGTGGTGGGTGGGTGGAGTGGTACAGGTGGTGGGTACAGTGGTGGGTACAGGTGGTGGTGGGTACAGGTGGTGGTGGGTACAGGTGGTGGTGGTGGTGGTGGGTACAGGTGGTGGTGGGCACAGGTGGTGGTGGGGTACAGGTGGTGGTGGGCACAGGTGGTGGTGGTGGTGGGCACAGGTGGTGGTGGGTACAGGTGGTGGTGGGTACAGGTAGTGGTGGGGTACAGGTAGGTGGTGGGTGGGTACAGGTGGTGGTGTGGGCACAGGTGGTGGGGGTGGTGGTGGGCACAGGTGGTGGATTGGCACAGTTAGTGATGGGTACAGGTGGTGGAGTACAGGTAGTGGTGGGTACAGGTAGTGGTGGTGGGTACAGGTGGTGGTGGTGGTGGGCACAGGTGGTGGTGGTGGGCACAGGTGGTGGTGGCACAGGTAGCACAGGTAGGCTAAACTGACCACCACCACCACCACTGACAGTAGGACGTATCACTAGAGACAAGCAAGCTCCAACAACGTGTTCTTCCACTTGGTAAACTATAATACACATTGAATATTACACACACACAATACACACACACACACACACGAGACAGTAGTGTGATATCAGCGTGTGTGTGTGTGTGTGTGTGTGTGTGTGTGTGTGTGTGTGTGTTCCGCATCACAAGACAGTGGTAACCCCGGACATTCAGTAAGGACGAAACTTGTATGTCCCAGCTTATCGGTGTATAAATCTGGACACTTTACACGTCTAGTTCTAAAAATATAACTAGAGAGAGAGAGAGAGAGAGAGAGAGAGAGAGAGAGAGAGTAGAGAGAGAGAGAGAGAGAGAGGTAATTTTATATTACTGAACGATTAGCCTCAACAACAAAAATTGTCCGCTAAGCACGTTATGCGTCCGTAATTAGTGACGTGTGGGGATGACGTGTGAGGGGTGGGGGGTTGGGTGGGGGGTGTGAGGGGTGGTAGGGGGTGGGGGTAGCCTTGTCGGTGCCTTTGATAATTTTCTCGGCTCGATTTCATATTGGTGGCGTCAGTAGTGGTGGTAGTGATGATGGTGGTAGTGGCGGAGGTGATGGTAGCAGTGGTGGTGATAGTGGTGGTAGATAGTGGTAGAGGTGGTAATTAGTGATGGTGGTGGTATTGGCGTAGGTGGTGGTAGTAGTGGCAATGGTAGAGATAGCGGTGGTGATGGTGGTAGAGATGGTAGTGGTGGTTGTAGTAGTGTCATTAGTATGTTGGTTATTTTCGACTCTTCCTAACCTAACCTAACCTAACCTAAAATGAACTATTCAAGCCTAAAGCGGCATTCCCAGTGACATTTCTAGGTCTGCGCATCGATGTTTAAGAATAGTTTTTGACTTCCAGGCATAAAATGGGATTCCAAGGCCCAAAATAGGATTTCTGGTCCTAAAATAAAATTCCTAGGCCTAAAATTGGATTGCTATAATGGAATTCTTAGCCGAAATTGGGATTCCTAGACCTAAAATGGACTTCCTAGACCAAAAATTAGATGTATAGGCCTAAAATTGGATTCCTAGGCCTAAAATTAGATTTCTAGGCCTATTTTAGCTAGTACATTGATCGAGTTTAACTCTTGACTTTGTTAACACACACTGATGATTCAACAATCAATTAAGGCTTTGCTAATCTATTTATATCTCACCAATCAATTAATGCGTTGCCATTCCAATCAATTGAATCTTCTCCAATTGATTGTTACTCCATCAATCCTCCTACACCACCCATCAACTATTACTCCATCAACCCCTCAATACTCCATCAATTCTCCAACAATCTGCTAACTGATTATTACTCCACCAATCCTTCAACACTCCGCCAATCAACTATAACTCCACAAATTGATTATTACTCCACCAATTCTCCAACAATCCAACAAATGCTTATTACTCCAACAATTTTTCCAATAACCACCTTTAATACTCCACCAATTGATAATTAATTAATCACTCCACCAATGAATCGAATCTTCACCAATCACCTCTCTTCTCTCCACCAGGTCACCAGGGGTCATGCTTCAGTGTGGGTCCTGAACCTCAACGTATAATAGGCATGGGCAGAAGTGGATCCACCTCCTCCAGTATGACCCACACCGTGAACCAAAATAACATGGGTCTTGGGAGTCACCATGACATGTCGAGTAGAAGTAACAACAGGCACCTCACACTCTACGGGATTGAAGTGCCAGTCTATAAGTTCCGTGGTGAAGATGCCCAGTTAGAGTGCCAGTATAATGGTGGCACTGACCCTCTCTACTCCGTCAAGTGGTATAAGGACGACAGAGAGTTCTACAGGTAAGTTCTAGTTTCGTCAGGTAGCTCTTATGATTGATTGCTCACTCACTCACTCACTCACTCACTCACTCACTCACTGACAGAGTTTGTATTGCTGTTAATGAGTATTTGTCAGTTTTTATTTTTATTATTATTATTATTATTTTAACATTACTATTAGTATTGTTAATTATTCTTATCATTCTTATCATTATTTATCAACTAATTAACTATTTTCCGGACTGCAGTACTAAACTAAAACACGAACATTATGATACATAGATACGATATTGGATGCAGTATATAAACACATTCCCAAGAGAGAGAGAGAGAGAGAGAGAGAGACTTCTATTTTATTTTAACTTACCGGGTACATACTTCACACATATACAGTATAGTAAAAAACACAGAGCCAAATTAACAAGTAATAACTAATTGTTAACTAACTTTGTAAAATTATCTAACAAATTCCTTTATAGAGAGACTACTGCCAGCATAATACTAACACTGCTAAGCGCTGTTATTTAAAAAAAAATTACTCTGTTAAATTAACTGTTTAACCTAATGCATTAACGAGATAAAACGGCGCTCAAAACACATTAACATCATGAAGTGTTATAAATTCTGGGACTGACAATATATATAACTTGTGGTCAGGACAACGATGCTCACTTGTTTTTTGTTTATTATTTTTTAGGAAATTTCCGTAAAAAATAATAAAAAATAATAGTTATTTCATTACGTCTTAAAAATTAATAATTGTTTTACGGTCACTTTTGTTGCAACTGCTAAAATGACAGTCAGAACTAAGACAAAAAATAACATAGAAATGGCTGTTAGTTATTTGTTATGGTAGTCCTCTTAAAATGATTATCACCAATTAATACTTAAATAATTAATAATAAATCTTTCCTCTAGACGACAACGAGTCATCCATAAAGCAAAAAAAAAACAAAAATTAAGTAACTCAAACTATAATATATGTTTATTTATTTTAATTTTTTCTTTCATAATTTATTTTTTCTTATGCGAAAGACGTATGCTAAATTGATTACTAACCCCTTGAGGTCGATGATTTAACCCTTTAAGGACGATGGTTTAACCCTTTAAGGACGATGGTTTAACCCTTTAAGGACGATGGTTTAACCCTTTAAAGACGATGGTTTAACCCTTTAAGGACGATGGTTTAACCCTTTAAGGACGATGGTTTAAGCCTTTAAAGACGATGGTTTAACCCTTTAAGGACGATGGTTTAACCCTTTAAGGACGATGGTTTAACCCTTTAAGGACGATGGTTTAACCCTTTGAGGACGATGGTTTAACCCTTTGAGGACGATGGTTTAACCCTTAGAGAATGACGTATTGTCTTTGAGTATGATGACAGTTTCCCTTAAGTGAGAACGTCTTAACTGTGTGAATAATTAAACCAATTTCCTTAAGTAAAATGACATTATAATCAAGGGGTTAAATCATCGCGATCAAGAAGTTAAGTCAATGTGCTCAAGAAGTCAAGATATATCATCCAATGGGCTAAATCAATGTACTGAGGTGGTTAAGTCATCATCTTCAGTATGGTCGATTGGGGTTCACTGTGGTTCATTAGGATTCATTTTGGTTCAATGGGGTTCACTCAATTTAAAGTACCATTACACACTATTAATATCCACTGGGGTTCACTAGGGTTCAAATGGGTTAAGAGACTGTCTCATGACTTGGCTCGTCCTCAGGATAAGTGGTCATGACAATAATCGGTTGACTGACATTCTAAATGATTGAAAAAATGATGATGAGAAGATATTTACTACTTTAACTTGCAAGGTGTATCTGTTAACGATGAGAGAGAGAGAGAGAGATCCTAACTAACAATGACCCATTTCTCTCATTTTTCAGATATTTGTTCAAGAAGCCGAAACCCAAGACGACTTTCACCACTCCAGGCGTCAACGTTAACGTAAGTGTTACTGTCTTAATGTTACTCCAGATACGTGAGGAAGGAAGGGTCTAGTGAGGGGCTGGAGGAAAGAGTGGGGAGGAGCTGAATGCGGGTGTGGGGAGGAGCTGGAAGAGGGCGTGAGGAGGAGCTGGAAGAGGGCGTGGGGAGAAACTGGAAGAGGGCGTGCTGGAAGAGGCGTGGAGGAGCTGGAAGAGGGTGTGGGAGGGCTGGAAGAGGGTGCGTGGGAGGAGCTGGAAGAGGGCGTGTGGGGAGGAGCTGGAAGAGGGGCGTGGGGAGGAGCTGGAAGAAGGTGAGGGCAAGAGGTGGGGGGGGGGCCTCTTGTGTCCGCTGAGGGGCTGATGAGGGCTGGCTGATGTAGTCTTCAAGGGTAACGAAAGAAATGTGTTTTTAAAGGGCTTTATTTTGTCTGTCTGTCTGTCTGTGTCCCGTTTGACCTTCATTCTCTATCTGACTAAAATACTGAGTGTCTGTCTTTATTTTTGTCGAGTTATCTATTTCTCTTTGTTTCTCTTTTCCATCTAGCCTCACTCCCTACCTCCCTCTTTCTCCTTTTTTTCCTAATTCAATTTATTTTCCTCCATTTCTTTCTCCTGTTCTGTATCCAATATTTCCTTCACTCCCTCACCCCCGCCCTTTATAGTTTCCCCCCTCCATCATCCCTCCCTCTCTTGTACCCCCTTCCTTCCCTTTCTTATTCACCCTTTCTTCCCTCGCTCTCGTCCTTCCTCCTTTCCTTTTTCTATACTTTCATTACATCCCTCCTTCCTTGCCTGATTCTCCTACATCCCTCCCCGTTCCTCCTTCACACCTTCCTTCTCTTCTTCCCTCCCTCCCTCCTTCTCTCTCTCCCTCCCTCCTTCTCTCTCTCCAGGCCTCCCTCCTTTGCACAACCAATCTAATGTGATCTATCAGGTATATCACACTTTAACTCGCTTTTCACAGCACAGAACAGCTCGACGGTGTTCCAAGGTACAGCATCACACACCTGTACATTATTAGAGAGAGAGAGAAACAAACAGACAGACAGACAAGGACAGAGTGATAACGGGAGATAAAAAATGAAGGGGAACGATATGAGAGAGAGAGAGAGAGAGAGAGAGAGAGAGAGAGAGAGAGAGAGAGAGAGAGAGAGGTGATACATCAGTGTTTTGACAAGGTAACACGGCTGGCTCTCCGCCTCGTTTTCTACAGCTGGAGGTCGGGGAGAAGGGATCACTTGTCGAATTAATTGACTTAAGGGTGCCGACTCGACAACCACACCGCCTCAGAATGTTCACCTTTATCTCACCCTGATCCCTGGCCTAAAGACGATCTCCCATCACTCTAAATCCTCACTACTCTTTGACCTGATACTTGTTCTTGGCGGTACTCCTGTTGCTTCACTCGACGATATTTTAAAATAAAGACTAAATATGCTTCATTATCTTATTGTTGTTGTTATTGATATTATTATTATTGTTGTTTTTATTCATTTTGTTGCCATTATTATTATTATTATTATTATTATTATTATTATTATTATTATTATTATTATTATTATTATTATTACGGGTCAGTTAGTTTAGGTTATATTTTCTAGCTAAAAGTTAAGATGATTAGGTTAAGTTAGGTTAAGTTGGTGAGTTAGGTTGATAATAAAACTATTCATTCAGTAAAATTATCAAGTAAATTTACAATCGGTTTTACCTGTGTATAGACAACACAGGCAATGGGTGTATTAAGACTGTGCAGGTATACAGTTTCCAATATATACCTAGACAGTGTAGGTGTACCTCAAAAGTAAGCAGTAAGGCATCAGATGTTTATTTCCAGAAGCTTAGGTTAGGTTAGGCTAGGTTAGGTTAGGTTAGGTTAGGTTAGGTTAGGTTAAGCTAGGTTAGGTTAGGTTAAGTTAAGCTAAATTAACTTGGATTATGTCCCGGCAATCAAGATAAAGGTAACCAAATTCCAAAACACACACACACACACACACACACACACACACACACACACACACACACATCTAAAATCAGCTTGAAATTTAACACACAGATCATAAACAACAATTATGACAGGGTACGAGGCCGCATAAATCATTACAATTAAAAACTTCATTTTGATGGCACGATATCTATAAATTACAATTATTATTTCCACGCCTCTTGATATTCAATAACCTGAAGTTTAACCAGCCCAGCTTATTTCACCACATGATTACAAACTCTAACGTTTAGCTAACCTACCTTAACCTAACCTAATTCTAACCTAATCTAACATAATGCTAACCTAACCTAACCTAACCTAACCTAATGCTAACCTAACCTAACCTAATGCTAACCTAGTGCTAACCTAATGCTAACCTAACCTAACCTAATTCTAACCTAATCTAACATAATGCTAACCTAACCTAACCTAACCTAACCTAATGCTAACCTAACCTAACCTAATGCTAACCTAGTGCTAACCTAATGCTAACCTAACCTAACCTAATTCTAACCTAATCTAACATAATGCTAACCTAACCTAACCTAATGCTAACCTAACCTAACCTGATGCTAACCTAACCTAATGCTAAACCTAACCTAATGCTAACCTAACCTAACCTAATGCTAACCTTACCTAACCTAATGCTAACCTAACCTAACCAAACGAAACCTAACCCCAAGTAGTGTTAGGATGTTTAGGAAAGGTATAGCTGGTTATCTAAGCGTTAAGGGGGAAGTTAAGGGAGATGGTGATATCTAGCTAGACTAAAAAAAGGTAATTAAGGGAGGTCAAACACATCTCATTACCTTAAAGACGGGTGATTAAGGGGAGCCATATTAAACCCTTTAAGGTAGCTGACCCTTCAAGAGAGATGATAATTACCCATTACTCCTCTTCTGCCTCGTTATGACGTAATGGATGCGTATATGCGTAACACAGAGGCGATAATGGAGATGGACGAGCGACTGATCTAGACCGCCGGGGTGTGGACACAAGCCAACAGTGATTCACGGTCAGCGTAGAGACCATAAATGGGCAAAATACACGTGAATGTGGGCATGGTGTGTGCCGATTGGTCATTTCCCTCCATGGCGTCACAAAGTACCCCACCAATTAGTTGTCTGATGCTAACCTAACCTAACCTAAAATCAACTCCACTGATAGGAGCATACACGAACGCACGCACACACACACACACACAAACACATATCCACAACGCCAACCCACACTCACACATTAAAACAGACAGACCGACAGTCACAAACACACACACACTTATTTCCAATCAATAAGATGAATCACCAGTGTGTAATTCAGACACCACTGGGACTTATTTCAGAGCCTAATTCGACACCTGAAATCTAAGGCGACAATGAACACGTCCCGGTGGTAGTTGTGTCATAATTAATATATCTCTAAATAGGAGACTTTGGGGTGTGTTACGAGATAGAAAGGGGAAGGAAAGAGAGAAAGGGGGGAAAGAAATGGCCAGAGAGAAAGGGAGAGAGCAACGGAGAGGAGAGAAAGGGAAAGAAAAAGGAGAAAGAACGGGAAGAAATTTTTAAGAAAAAAACGAAGGATGAACGGGGAAAGATTAGGGAGTAGAAAGGAAGGGGAGGGAAGAAAGCGGACAGAAAAGGGAAAAGATGGAAAGGGGAAGGAGAGAAAGGGGACGAAAAGAAAAAGGAAGAAAATAGAGGGAGGAAAAAAGGGGAAAAGGGGGAAAGAAGATATGGTGAAGAAGTAAAGGATAATATAAAATGGAGAGAGAGAGAGAGAGAGAGAGAGAGAGAGAGAGAGAGAGAGAGATAACCCAGCCAAGAAAGAAAGACTAATGGCCGAATGAATCAGCCATATACATTTCACAGATGATCGGTTCATCAGACAGGGAATTAAAACAACTAAGACGAAGTGGCGCGTCGGGCTGGTGACAGGAGAGGGCCGTCACCTAACACACCCCCTGCCAGCCTTCATCACCATCTTCATACCTTACCTCTCTCTCTCAAGTTTGTTATGATACCGACGTTATTATTTCATGCTGGTGATTACGTTTCATCTTACTATTTCGTGACGTGACGTGAGTTGTATAGTGTGGTGATGGAGATAGATTGAGTGTAAAATGTTGAAGATACGGTTTGAAAATTTGAGCAGGAATTTTTAGGATACTGCCGCGCGAATCACTTTGTTTACACTTGGAGTAGAGACTGCGGGGTCAAATTATCTTCGAATAGAACTAATCAAATAACATTATCTGACCTAATTAATCACTTTGTCTTATAAATTAGATTTGTTTTATCTCAGGTAAAGAGTTTGTAGTTATTCTTAACAAGTTTTAAAGTATCTAGACTTTTTGGTGGGTAAGCATCCTGACGTGTTTCATCTTAGCTAATAGGGTTCATGGTATTTATATGCGATTTGCTTCACAGTAACTATCTTAACATAATTTTAAATAATCTTTAGGATATGTTTCAACGCCACACGTGCGAAAGCTCCCTGCTGACACCTACAATATACTTCACAGTGCAATATGCTTAACATCCCAACCTGTAAACCTGGCATCTGGAATTTCGTTTTCTTGTTTTTTTTTTTACAAATTCTTTCATTTTCATTCAAACATTTACTGACTACATTTTCGATCACATGAAATAGTATTTCAATATTTGCAACAGTAGTCCAGGCGGCGCTGATGTATCTCCTCATCACTCATGCTCTTTGGTAATGAAAAGTCATGACCCTTTTACGACGATTATTTTGATGACTCATACACAGGTACAGTAACGGCTTGTCATACTCGACTGATTACATGAAAGGAACCAATTCATAAAAAAAATAAAAAAAATAAAAATAAATATATATATATATATATATATATATATATATATATATATATATATATATATATATATATATATATATATATATATATATATATATATATATATATATATATATATATATATATATATATATATATATACAAGGAAAAGAAGAAAACTAAAAGTTCCCAAAGCTATCGTGCAGAATTCACATCT